AAAAATATAAATTAAAAAAAACTTTAAAAAAAATAAAGATATATATGTTTTTTTAGGCTAGAAGATGTCTGAATATGTTATAAGACTCTGGTCCACATCTGCGCCAAGAAGAGGGCGCGCAGACATTTTTAGGTCTGCAGTCTTCAAAAAAACAAACAGTCTGTGAAGGCTAATGTCTGCGCCTGGTCTACACGGCGCAGACAAAAGAGGCCACGCAGATCTGCAGACAAAAAACAAACACTACCTTGGTGTCAACTTAGTTACAAGTTCGTTTGGTTTCTATCCCACAAAGTAAAGTGTTAATGTCGTTTTGGCGGGTCCTTAAACGTGGTGTTTATGTGTTAAAAACATTAGTACGATTGTACGAAGAAAACAAAAGGAAAAATATGTTAATCTTTATACGTGGTAAGGGTGAAACGAGTCAAGCTACTCGTGAGCTACTCATGATCGGATCGTTAAAAGTTCGACTCAAAACCGATTTTAAACGAGTCCGAGCTTAATATTAAGTTCGTTTATTAAACGAGCTCGAGCTCGAGCCTATGTAACTAAGCTCGATTAGGCTCGCGAGCCTAAACGAGCCTTAATAAAAAATAATTTATTGTTATTTTTATATATTAAAATAAAAATATATTTGGGGATTAGGGATTTAGGGTATTAGTAAACGAGCTTCTTAATGAGCTCGAGCCGAGCTTAAGCTTATTTAGGCACGTCAGAAAAAAAACGAACTGAGCCGAGCCCAAGTCAAGCTTGTATAATTATTTACGAGCTCGAGCCGAGCTCAGTATAAGAATCTTGAATCGAGCCGAGCTCGAGCTCGAGCCTCGTATAACTTAAACAAGCCGGAGCCGAGCCCGACCAGGCTCGGACTTGGCTCGGCTCGTTTGCACCCCTTATTATGTAGCATCTTAGTTGGCTTGTTTTTGTTTTTGTTGAGTAGTCACGTTTATTAATTAACATTTCAACTGAACTGCTTGTCAACATTATTAAAAGAAAAAATTCCTCTCAATCCTTTTAGTGCTTGCTTAAAGTTGAAGAATAAGAACAATAGATTCTAGTTATAATGTTGACGTCCTTGTACCTACAAGTAGAATTTTACTACCAAGGAGTATTTGTTCGGTAACCTTTTGCGTATGTTGAAGACAGGAAGCATCTTCTGAACTTCGTCGGTATGAATTTCAATGAATGCTTACCTTTTTCTTGAAAGGTTAACACATCAAAGTTGGTCAAAGCTTTATTATTGTATGCAGAGCCGGCCCAACACATGGGCGAGTTGGGCGGAGGCCCAGGGCATCAATGAGAAGATGGGCATAACGTTAGTCCATCATTTTAATATCTTGGGTATTTGGCCATCAGCAATTCCAATTAACTGTGTCGTTTACTTGCTTCGACTCTCGAGTCTGGTTCCCGTCTTCCCAATCGTCTCCTAGAAAGACTAAAGGTCCTGATGTAGAAGACGAGGAATTCATTGCTTTTCCTAATCGCCAATTGGTCAAGAGGCTCTTATTCGGATACACAACAGATACCATCTCCTAATTTCTTTCTAGAACACAAGAACATTAATTTCTATAAACTTTATGTGCCGCCTCTAGATTTCTCTAAACGCTCCTCTCTTGTCTCCTGATTTCTGTCAAGAACGCAAGAAGAAATTTTTTTGGATACCCTTTCCTCTTTCGATTTATGTGACTCTGCTAATATTTCTCTTCTGTACCATCTGGAACTCTTCAGAATTGTAATGGAAGTATTCTCCTGCTTGGGACGATTGTGCCCTTATTGCTACTGAATTGCCATGTTCTCAATTTGTTTGTTAGCTTTTCTAGATGCCATGCTTTCTCATACAATGTTACTTTTCTGGCTTGGAGTTTCACTCAGGTGCAGGATAACGTTTTCCTTGTTTTGGTCGATTTGGCTTTTAAAGATGTCGCCCCTGTACATATTGAATTTTGCCAAATTGGACGATTATGCCCTTGTTGCTCTTCTAGCCCCTTCTTATAGATGTGTATCTAATTTATATTGTTGATTTCAAGTTATATGAAGTTTGGTTTCAGAGCTTATTAAGGGATAGCTATGTTGGACGATTATGCCCTTGGAGTTGAAGCCCATGTTAGGTTGATTGCCTTAATTAGACTCTGCTACAATTCTAAAATATTTTGGGGTTGCTGTCGAAATTCCTTAAATTCCTTCCCAACGTATTTTTTCAATTTTGAGATTATAGTACAAATAATGAAGAGAATGACATTTTTGTTTTCTAATTTTCTATATTTACATTTTACATAGGGATTTTTTGGCACTGCAGTTTTTATTTTTTTGCAAATCAATTACAGGAGGAGTAATGTAAATCTAATGAGCTTGTTGAAAGTACTAATGTTAACTATGATATTGTAATTATTATTTTTGATTCAAATAATGCTTGAAGACAATGTTTTATTGATTTTTGCAACTTTTAGTTGTATGAAGATGAATTTATTTGAAAAAAGATACTAGTTGTGGGATATACTAAGACTGGAGGGAGTAGTAACACTCTTAGCACATTGCCACCTAGGATTTTTTAGTTTTTTTTATGACACATAGGTTTAGCATGTATAACACAAAAAATATAGGGAGTGGTAGTGCTTGATTTTAAATAGGTTTTATTTTGAAAAAGAAAAAAAAACAACCAATAGTTTTGTAGTAAAAAAGGAAACAGCCAATAACAGCCTAATAATATTTCTCTCACTTCTCGGTAAGTCCATAGCGACCCATAGTTAGCGACTCAACTAGCGAATATTAAAGGAATGGTTTAATATTACTTGGCGACCTTTTGGCGAGAGGGGTGGCGAGGCCACTCCCTCTAGCCTAACAGTTAAGTATGAAGATAGTATTGGGGCATTATTAAGTTTTTCGCCCAGGACAGTAAAATCCTATGGACCGGCCCTGATTGTATGCCTAATATTTGTTTGAGAAAAGGCTTATGATTAATTAAAAATCAACTTGATTATGCTGATTTTATCGTGATTAGGTATAGTGGTGAGGGATGCAACATTTCTATGTATACGGACCATTTTTTGGGCAGATTTAGAAAAATGGTTTTATGAAGAAGAAGACAAAACTTATATTTTTGCAAGTCCATATGACCATCAATCTAGTGTTGTGGGTGATGATTATGAAGACACGATCTTGGATTTTTTTTTCTCTCTTGATGTTGAAGTAAATAATGAAACAACTTGTATGGACAAGTATAACAATGACTCATTTTTTAGTAAACTTTGTTAGGAAGGAGGGAGTCATTCCCTCCCAACCCACTGAACCCACTGCCACATCACTTTTTCTCTTTTGTTTTTCTTCATCTTTCTGAACCCACAACACACGGAAATCATATCTTTTTGAACCCACTCAACCCACTCAATCAAAAAAAAAAAATACAAAACAATCAAATGTAAAATCTTAATTAGCAATAGAGTTATCGGCGGTACCACTCCCGCTTCAACGAGTGGGTTGATTGGTTTCACTAACCCACTTCATCATCTCTCTACTTTCTTTTTCTTATTTTCTCTTGTACCATGTGTTTTAAAACTTGTACCTTAGTTGTTTTGTATTTTTTTTAATTGAGTGGGTTGAGTGGGTTCAAAAAGATAGGATTTCCGTGTGTTGTGGGTTTGGAAAGATGAAGAAAAATAAAAGAGAAAAAGTGATGTGGCAGTGGGTCGGTGGGTTGGGAGGGAACGACTCCCTCCTCCCTTATGAAAGAATAACTCAATCAATAACCTAACCCGTCAATGTGGGACTAGCACACTTAGTAGAGGTTTTGTCTCTTAAATTAGGGATGAGATTTGAAAATCCTAAGCAGATTAAACACATGATTTATAATTGTGTTGTTGCAAATGGTTATCACAAGAATAACGAAATGTTGTAGAAGACGAAGTTTATGATGAAGTATGGGAGACAGGGAGAGTGAACCAATATGTCAAACTCTAAGCAGATTAGGGATGAGATTTGAAAATCCTAAGCAGATTAAACACATGATTTATAATTGTGTTGTTGCAAATGGTTATCATATATGTTACAAGAAGAATGATACCAAAATACTTTACTTTTTGTTAGGTAGTGTAGTGGTTAGTGTACTTTCAAGCTATAGGGATAATGGATGAGTGAGGAACACTTTTTATCGAGGAAGTAAGGCTATGGGGAATGGTCACCACCAACCCACCAAAAAAGTGGTGCCACTTTTGCGCCACGTCAGCTCCACCACCAACTAACTAGACATTGGAAATGGTTACCATTCCATAATATTTATCTTTTTTTTTTAACATTAAATTAAATAA